ATAACTTTGTGCTGTACAATGAGTCTGCTTACTGCCACAGAATAATATTCTGAAGAGCAAGCAGCAGGACTGGTTGAGGTGCTGGGATGTTAGTTTCACAGAATTGTATTGATAATAGAAATAACAGAGCATAATCTATTTATACATGTAGACTTTTAAGTAATCATTATTTTAATTATATCAAAATATCAAGTGGCTTTTCTATAAATGTGTGAGAGAGGAAATCTGATTTAGCAATCAGGACATGTCACATCAGTCAAGATATCAGAACCCTATATGAGAAAATGTATTTTAAACATTCTCCTGGATCAATTATTAAGTTAATTTCATTCAGCAGAATGACTTCCAAATGACTGCATTGTTTAACTTCAATTTCAATAACTACTGCTTCACTAAATAACACTTCTCCAGTGACATGCATGAACTAAATTCTGCATTACCCTCATTTTCCATGGATTTAAGGATTCCCATGGATTCACTCATTGCACTGACTTAAGAGATTTCCAAAGAAAGCGCCTGCTTCACTGCTGTTTGGAAACCTGATGTTTAGTACGTGAGGAAAGTGAGCTGTACATAGAATAGGAGAATCTGTCCTAACACCATGCCCTCCTGTCTGTTGGAATAGAGTGGTTATGTAGGCAAGGATGCTAATGCATACATTCAACTTGCCCAACAGTTCACATCTGTCAGCTTGGACGCGACTTCAGTTTTGGGTGGTACTCTTCAAAGTCTTAGTAAGGTTCAGAGAGGATGGCATCTTAGTAGGTCATCTTTCTGTTATATAGTTACTAAAAGCACTGAAACAAATCCCATGCAAAACAAACCAAGCTACATTAGAACAGTATGCAGTGAAAAGTCCAACTTTAGGCATCTTGACTCTAAAATGTCTTGGTCTTGCTCACACTTTATATGCCTGTAGGTAACTTGTATCAGTTGATCACAATATGGGCTGCTTGACAGGCTATGAATATGCCTGTGTTCATGGAACTCCAGTGAGTATCAGTCATTATTGACACCATCTGTTTACTCCAGGGCTAACATTTTCAATCTGTTCTGGTTAAAGGTACATGTAGAAGAAGCATTCAAGCAGCTCTGGTGGAAGAAAGGAATTTTTCTTCCACAGAAAGGATTTTCTTTTTTTAAGCTTTTTTCATACGTTATGCAAACATCATATAAAGGGTCCAGCACGCTTAAAATAGCTTCTCAAAGAAGAAATGAAACAGAAGGGTCTATTAATTTTTGGCATAGAGATTGAATGTTTGACTTCCTATAATCAAAGGTGTTATTCTTGTTGGAATAAAAATATACACTGAAAAGTCTCACTAAACAGACAGTTGTATTTTCTTCGTGAGAAATAAGAAATTAAATTTCATGGGAAATGAAATTTTAATAAAAAGTGTGATGTGTATTTCAATAGAGTGTTAATTATTAGCTGACAGATTTTATGAGGAAGAACATACGTGAGCAGCTTATTTAAAGAGGGAAAGTAAAGAGTACAAGGAATTAGTCTATTATGATACATGATTATACTCAATGTAATGTTGCATGTTACTGACTGTTCTACGACAGTTGAGCAATAATTACCCAAACTGCTTCAAATCATTTACCAACTGCCTATAATTTGTAGCTTGAGATGTACAAGACTTACAAAGTTAGAAAGAAAGAAAAAAAAAAAAAACAAAAAACAAAACAACCAATGCAGACTGAAAATGGAAGCACCGTAGACTTTTCAGTGATTCCTTTGTTACCTTCTTAATGGTGAAAAAATGCACATGAGCATGTAGTTCTGTGTTTGCCAAAATGAGATACAGTTCTTCATTTCCTCTGCATTCCTCAATTTTATTTTGTTTTTCACTTAATTCCAAATGACAGAAATTTCATTTCTAAGCTGATAAATAGTCAATGAATGCACATGCTTTATTTCCTGTTTTCTTTATAATGGTGTCACTGAAATGTCTCAGAAAAAAAAGGACTGGAACTTGCAGAGTGCTGGATGATAAACGTACGCTGTTCAGATGGGTCAGAAGGATGATCTGTCTTTTAAATTGCAGCATAGAATAAAGGCATGCAGGATTGAATAAGCATTGAAAGCATTTGGGGAATGGCAGCACACAGCCCTATACAAGATAATTTTCTTGACAACAAAGTACATATGATTTTGGATACCAGAGTTCAGCTCCCAGCTTGATCAATCGCTTAATCAATCTGCTGTGCGCACCACAATGACTTGATTATACTCTGACCAGCAGATCTCAGAGAGTCACTAAGTGTTCAGTGCTCACTAAGCATTTCAGAAAACAGTTTTCAGAGAATTATTTGTTAACACTTATGTTTCAATCATTTTTTTAAACTTCCTTAAATCAGTTATTTTTTTGTTTGTTTGTTTTGCTTTTTGCCTGTATTTTCTTAACTGGCTATGCTATTAATTAGATGTCTCATCAGAAAGCCATCCATTGTCCCCCTTTTTTCCACTGACTCTCTCTTTATTTAGCAAGTATTTCTTGAAAAGCATATTATACTCTCCGGTATAGCAGGTGTGACTTTGTCAATGTTGTATGTTTAGCATTCCCCTAAGTGGATTTCTCTCTCCTTTCAGACTTCTGACTAGTCAAAAGTCATTAAACATATATATATATATATATATATAAAAATTGCTATTTTATTCTTACTTCCTGCATAATTAGCATAGTATGCTATTTTTTATTTTATTAACATTATTTACTATGTTGTTCCTGTTCCCTGGATTTGTAGTCCTCTTGCTCTAAAGAAAGATTCAGTTCTGCCTACTCAAATGAAAAGCCTAAGCTTCTGTTCTTCAACAGAGGTAATAGCCCAATGTATAGCAAAATTAATATTTTATTTATTTTTTCACTGCTGAAGAAAATGTGAAGAATTATTTAGCAGAATTGGACTGAATTTTATTAATTTACTTTCTTTCTGGAACATACTGAAGGCATCAGACCCCAAATATCTCTGCAAATATAATCTGTGAAGTGTCAAGACAGTAGTGTTTGTAAATGTAATGTTATTATTTTTATTCTTTGTTCCTGATGGGTCACATAATTAATGGCAAGCGATTCACAATAATGTTCTGAAACAAAATAGATTAACCTACTTAGCTTGGATCAGAAAAAGGCCATAAAAGATAGGACACACAAAATTGGTGTTCAATTCGTCTTGCCTTTGGTTTTCTTTCTCAAAAATTTATAAGAATAAATAGATAAATGCACTTTTTGGAAAACAGAGCATGTCATTAAAATTAATATCAATTTAATGTTATTAAATATTGAAATGTATGAGACTTAACAAAAGTAAAATACAAATGAAAAGTCTGTAGCACTTTAAAATATTTCCTTACACTTCCAAAAATAAAGTAATTTTAGGGACTATCAGAGCTCAAAATCACAATGTTAATGGAAAACAAAAAAATAAAAGGCGTTCCAAATTCATGTCGTAAACTGTACTGGCAACGTGCAACTATGCTATGTGTGGCCAGAAGTATGTGAAACAGAAGATAATATGAATGGAAAAAATCTGAATGTGAAAATAAGCCTTTTTTTTTTTTTTTTCTGCTACAAGGTTAAACTTACATCTTCCTACAAATTGTCTTGAAAAAAAAGAGTCATAGAATTATAAAATCAAGGTCACAAAAAGACTTCCAAGATCATCCAGTTCAACCATCATCACCTACCACCAATACCCCGCTAAACCATGTCCCTCAGTATTCTAATAGTAATTACAACTTAAGAGTAATCATAATTTACAGAAGTATAAGGAAATTTAAAGTCAACAAAAACAACATTATGAATGAAGAGGTGAAATGCCTCTTTCCCAACTTTGTCCCCTTTACAGGCTATGTTTTTTTATTGAGGCATTTATGTTTTCTTGAGCTAGCCAATAGTTTTATTTGGTGCAAAGCGAAATGATACTTTTTACTTTATAGAAGAAATATCTATCTATCTTCATCTCTTCTTCTTATGCTACTTTGGTCATTTCACCTCTTCTATCTTTATTTTCTTCTACCTTTTGGCTTCAGAATTGTGTTTGCTATCCTCAAAAGCTTTTCAGCCATTACAAATCGAACTGGTAAAGAAAAGAAGAGTATAGGAAAGCTGAGTGATGACAGCTGTGTGCAGGGAGTACTTTAATCTTGTAGTGTAGAATATATCAGATTATTGCCACTTACAGTCTCAAGGAGCATCTCTTGTAGGAGGTTTACTGTGAATGTACACTCCTGAAATAACCTGAGGAATTTCCCTCTCCCTTTCTTCTGCTTATCAAACAGATGAAAATTAGCCAATATTAGCAAAACTTTCTCATTCAACTATTTAGAATCATAGAATCATAGAACATTCCAAGTTGGAAGAGACTTGTAGGGATCATCAACTCTTGGCTGTATATAGGAACACTCAGAAATCTGACTAGATGTCTGACAACAGCAACAGTTCTTTGAACTCTGGCAGCTTGAGTCTGTGACCGCTGACCAGGGGAGGCTGTTCTGGGGCCTCAACACCCTCTGGTGAAGAATCTTAACTCCCAACCCCATCTCCTCTGATGCAGCTCCATGCATTAAACTAACCGACACATCTTCAAAAATAGATGTTAGAGAGTGCTCACAGGACCCATTATACCTGCTGTTATGGCAATCAGGAACAGGGAAACTCCGCTAAGCTCCTCATCAAAATAGAGCTTACAGTGTTTCATTAGCAAACACATCTGTGGCTGGGGGAGGACGTGTGTCCATGGCTGCTGCTAAATGGAATTGAGCAAGAAGCTTGTACTGATTGTTTAAACTGTACAGCAGCACAATCTAGGGCACCTGATTTTGCAGGACAGCCTGTTAGAAGCAGATGTGAGAGTATAAAGCTTTGGTTCATTTTTTATTTCTCTACTGTCTCTCATTAAAGGAGTCCCGCCTCTGCTTGACATACTGCTAAATTTAAATATGTGTATCAGATCTGAATAACCTATGTATAATAGGATATGCCACTTACCTAATTAAGGAGAGGAACAGATTGCCTTAAAAAAAAAAAAACAACACCTTCCAGAGGCTAAGAATTGTCAAACACAGCACCTGCAGTAAATGGAAAGAGATGTCATTTTTTCTGTTGATATAGGTCTCAATTTATCTCTTTTTCTTACAGTTTTATTACTGTTCTTTCTTCCTGTTAAGGCATTTTATGTCACTGAGACAAAATTTGGCATCTTTCTCCAAACAACTGTTCAAATTGAATGTCATTCTAACCTTCCAAATATTGTAAAAGATATTAGATGGTCTGTAATATCCATATCTCTTTGGCATGAAGCCCAAAGATTTGCAAGTAGGTCATCTCTCTGCAAACTCACCCATCTTGGAAAACTGTTTATTTGTGTAACAGTACATTTTGTAGAATAGATGCATACCGTATTTAATTGAACAAAGCTGTAAGTACATTCAGCCAGGCATCCCTACAGATGCCTGTACTGTCTATTTTACTCTGAGGACATGCAAATTTTTTCACAGCTGCTCAAACATTGCCTTGAAGCATCAAAATGATCTGAGCAATTAAGTTATAAGGAAAAATAGCATACATTCATTAAAGATCTGTATCCTCTGATATTTTGAATTCTCATGGCAGGTCAAATGTGATAAAAATGCAAGGATGAAACTTCAAATTTCTAAATGAAAACTTCTTAAAAATTGAAAGTGTTTTAAAATGATGATCCTGATTCACAAATAAGCAAGTGAAAAGCAAAAGAAGAAAATCTGATAACCTTAAGAAAGCTCAGTTTCAGTACTTTCTGCATTTTTAAGTCACCTTTTGAAACACAATGATCAAAAAACAAATTCTATAACACTATCTGCAATTCAGACAAGCTACACTCAGAAAATGCTAGGAAGTCTAAGTGATGTGAATGCACCTTACAGAAACCTTTATAATACATTAGTCTGAAGTTTCTTGAGTTCAAGCATCAGAGATATTTTTAAGAGTCCCAGAAACACACAACTCCACAGTACTTTTTAAACAAACTTCATTAGTAGACAGAGCACAGGCTGATCAAGAGTTCCTTAAAAAATGTGCACTGGACAGGACTAGAAACCAGCACTCAACCTAAATTCATGAAACACTCTGCTTTTTTTTTATTATTTCCTTTCCATGGAAGTAGCACAAAGCAGTTGTTCTGTCAATACTTGTAAAGAACTATGGCATATGCAATGAAACAGATAGTCTAGAATATGGAAGACCTCAAAATCTGCACCACTCCATCCTTATCTCAACTCAGAAGCAAGGTACTGTGCAAAGATGGGGACCACAACCACTAGTCACCATCTCTCTCAATGCAAAATCCTTTTGATTAAGCAGTCATGAGTCAAAAACTTTGTGCTCCCGTTTGAGATTATTTTGTTCTTCACACACACACACAAGGGTAAAAAAAATATGTCGGGAAAAGAGCTTTTACTGATGGCAGTTATCCAGTTGCAATATGAACCAGACAGCTTCTGTCTTTGTGTCTGCCTTCATTGTGCAGGTGGAAAGCAGAGCTGTCTTCAGCACTTGGCCTGAGCTGAAGCTCACTGAAAGGAAGAGCTGGCACTCAGTAGGACCTCAGCATTTAACAAAGACCTCACTACAGTGACACATGATCATTAAGTTCCCTTCAGTTTTCCACTGGAATTCAAAGCTGGGACCAAACAGAGTCACTGCACCTTAGATAACTCTACTATAATTGCCATACAAATAAACTTGCGCAACAACTAAACATCAATTTGTAAGTATTAGAAACCTTATATAGTAGTTCAATCTGCATTAAAATAACAGTTATTTATACACTTGCCTCATTTTCCTTCTCAGAAACTGGAGGTCAGCAATTGGTATCTTATTTACAGTATTCACTATCCTAGCTGTAATCTCCCTCCAAGGAGTCATACCAGAGCCTGATGATACTAGACAGCATAACAGCAAAGTTGTATGATCTTCAGTATGCTCTTGCTGTGCAAAAGATGCTTTGCCACTTTTTAAATTTTAGCAGCTTCCCTCCACCTGTATTTATTTAAATTCAAAGGTGACAATTTTACATAGCTGTTGAATTTCTCCTCTGCCTCATACTGCATGCAGTGTAGGCTACAATGTGGTACAGACACTCATCTATTGATTTAACTTTGCACAATAACTATCACATCATAACAGTTCAGCTGAAACTAATGGAACTAATTAAGCAACAGGGACCTCCAAGCCAGAGAATCAGAGATTTGCAGTTGTAAAGGATCTATCGGTCCATCTGTTTTATCTTCCTGTCAGAGCCAGACTTTTCCATGCAATATATCTTTTGTTCACTGTGCTCCAAATTGCGCTAAAAGATTGGGGCTTTCACATCTTCCCCCAGGAGACTGCTCCACACCATAATAAATCTCATTGTCAAGAATCTTTTCCTGCATTCAGCAATATCATACCTCTTTAAAAGTGTGCCATTTTTCTATTTACAGCTTCTCGCTCGTTCTGGATGAAGCCCATCTCTCCACCTCTGAGCTTTAAATATCAGCAGACAGCCTTGTCCTGTCATGCTTTTGTCACCGAGTCAGGTAGCACTTTTTTCTCCTTAGGTCTCCAATAATATGCACTTTCAGTCTGAAATGAGACAGATTTGTATGTAAGAGGTAACAGCCTAGCTACTACAGACATGCTGTGAAGGGGGCTGAACAGAGCCCACAGAGTTTCCGTGGGGAGGATGCATGTCTGCCTCCGCCTCTTACCACCAGTCCCTTAAGTAGCACTACATGGAGCACTGCATTTTGTGCATAGCACGTACTGACCGCAATCTCACTGTTAGAAAAGCTAAAAATTAAAGAACCATGAGCCTTTGCCTCTTCTAACAGAAAAGATAGGAAGAGCTAGGCACTAGGCATAAAGAAACCCCTGGAAGGGAGAAGGGGCAGCTCACTGTTTCTGATGAGATGGGTGTGAGAAAAAAGTGGGATGCCTCCAGTCATAACGTTGCTGCCTGGCAGCTTCTGAATTTGCTTTGGTTTTATGGCAGAGGGGCTCGGCCCTGATTTCCAGTTTGGGGATAAAAGTTTTGGGCGTCTCTGATGATTATATTGCAGAATGAGCACAGTTGTGATGATGATGTGAAATAAAGCAAGTGACAATAGGTAGCTACTGCCTTCTAGAATTTAATAACAGCAATATAAAGGACAATGCAGATCTAAGTCACTCTCTTAACCATAATATATTGACTTTATAAACTGCAGTATATTTCTGAGAAAGAAGATCTGATTTTTGAGGAAGAATCGTGTAAGATACGTTAATGGTATCCTCATTTACTTCTCAATATTTTTGTAATATGTAATTCAGACATTAATTTCTGGCAAAGATATTTTGAATGACTGTCAGAAAGCATTGTCTGCTTCCCTGTGAGATATGGGCAAAATGTTTTATAGAGTTTCCAACACCCGCTTACAAAAACCAAATCACTCTGGTTATCAGAGTTGAAAGAGGCCATTCCCTGAGGGGAATTTATTATCCTGTTGGTGTCTTCTATTATAATTCATTAACCTCAGCACAACAAAGTTGAAGTGTCTGTTCTGATGATTGATAGGAGATCCCAAAACACATATTTGACTCTCAACAATTTATTGTTTTCTCCTGCGTTTTACTATATTTACCATTCTTCATCTCTACAAAACGTGGGTTCTTTTCTGATATGCTGCCCAGCCTGCTTTAGCTTTGGAAATTAATTCTTCCATTTGGATTGCTTTAAATCATGATTCATATGGTTTTAAAATTCACTTTAAATAATAATAATAATAATAATAATAAAATTAAAAGAGACTGTCCCATATTTTATATATTTGAAATCAGTACTAACAAAGTAATGAGAATTAGCAAGTTAAAACATATACAAGATTTATTATAGGAGAAAGAGCACCATTTTTTGATAGATAACAGGACTGTAATTTTTCGTGTTTCATCCAAAATGTGTTTTTTTTCTTAGCCGGTTTTTGGGGGGTTTTGGTGTTGCAGCTAGGGAAAACTAATAGATCAAGGACAGGAATTTGTGCCCAATCTCCTGCTGCTGCTTAACTTTGTCATAAATCCCTTAACAACCACCAACTGCTCTGTTGTTATACTGCCCTTCTGATCTTAGCTAGCTATAGCAAACTCCTGTTTCAAAACCGCCTTGGTAAAAGCAGCATCTCCTTTGTGAAGTCCTTCCTAAGGCTGAACAGCAACTAGCCCAGGGACTGTGCCCCAGCACCCTGCTACCCCAAGGCATGGCTGCTCCTGCTTTGTTTCACTTCACAAACGTACGCATCATGACCGGTAAAGACAAGCAACTCAGTGTGAGAATCTTTGATCCAATTCTGAAGACTTAAAATGAAAAAGAAATCCAATGCAAATCTTTTAGTGTTTCAAGATATTGTATGGGATATGTAGGAGTCACTCTAGGAATGACGTAGCCATCTCCCAGGTAGTTTTTCCGAGCCTCCTGAAAATTACTGTTTCCCACATGCTTATGAGCATGCTTATGAGGATCTCTACTGACATTATTTAATTAAAAAAAATACTTCCAGATCAATGAACTGAGAATATTTTGGAAGTAAACTTGTGTGAAATAAAAGGGTCCACATATTTAGCTAGGAATAATAATAATAATAATAATAATAATAATATAATTACATTGCAAAATATAAGTTGCAATATGGGCAATATAGGGCCTAGGATGAGGGAAAATCAGCCATCATCTTGGAACATTCAAGGCTGAGTATATTTAATTATTCCATTTATTTTCAGCTTACTCCTGGTCTTGTGTCCAGCAGGTCTCAGAGATGAATTCATGCAAGTGAATTTTCTTAACATGTCTGTGATTATTTTTCACTTCACCTCAGTTGCAAAAGTTGCTGCAACTTTAAGCGGCAGAACAGCACAGAAGTGTCCTGCACTTCTGAACAGCAAGAGTTGTATGGTCCATCATGGGAAAGAAAGTTAGCTTTTTCCTTCTGTGTTGGTTTTTCTCCCCTTTTCCCTCTTCCTTTCTCTCCTTTTTTTTTCTTAATCTTTACTTCACCAACTGTCTTTTTCAATTTAATCATTT